GGCAGGTGAGGGGCGTGGCCTGCATGGGAAATCAGCTGAGGGGGCGGGGCCTGCATGGGGAATCACCTGAGGGGGCGGGGATTGAATGGGAAATCACCTGAGGGGGCGGGGCCTGCAGGTGAGGGGGCGGGGCCTGCATGGGAAGTCAGCTGAGGGGGCGGGGCTTGGATGGGAAATCAGATGAGGGGGCGTGGCTTGCATATGAAATTATCTGAGTGGGCGGAGCTTGCATAGGAGATCAGCTGAGGGTGGGGCTTGCATAGATAATGACCTGAGGGGCGGGGCTTGCATAGTAAATAAGGGAAGGGGGAGTGGCTTGCATAGGGAATGATCTGAGTGGGCGGAGCTTGCATAGGAGATCAGCTGAGGGTGGGGCTTGCATAGATAATGACCTGAGGGGTGGGGCTTGCATAGTAAATAAGGGAAGGGGCGGGGCTTGCATAGGAAATCGGCTGTGGGCGGGGCCCGCATAGTGAATGGGATGAGGGGGCGGGGCTTGCATAGGAAATGAGCTGAGGGGGCGGGGCTTGCATAGGAAATCAGCTGTGGGCGGGGCTTGCATTGGAAATGAGCTGAGGGGGCGGGGCTTGCATAGGAAATCAGCTGAGGGCGTGGCTTGCATTGGAAATGACCTGAGGGCGTGGCTTGCATATGAAATAAGCTGAGCGGGCGGGGCTTGCGTATTAAATGAGTCCAGGGGGCGTGGCTTGCATGGGAAATGAGCCGAGTGGGCGGGGTTTCTGGGGGGGGTGTCACGTGACCTGAGCGGAGTGGGCGTGGCCTGCAGGCGAGCGGCGTCACCTGTCACGTGGGCGTGGCCGAGGAGCGCGAGCGCATGGTGCAGCAGGTGAGAGAGCGCCCGGAAACTTCCGGAAACACCCGGAACAGCTGGCCGGGGTTTTGGGGCAAATTCCGGCCATTTTGGTCAATTTTGGACATTTTTGGTTAATTTTGGGCGTTTTTGGGTCAATTTCAGGCGTTTTTGGGACAATTTTGGTCATTTTTGGGTTAATTTTGGACATTTTTGGGTCAATTTTGGGCGTTTTTGGGTCAATTTTGGACGTTTTCGGGTCAATTTTGGTCATTTTTGGGTCAATTTTGGGCGTTTTCAGGTCAATTTTTGTAATTTTTGGTCAATTTTGGTCATTTTGAGGAGATTTTGGTCGTTTTTGGGTCAATTTTCTTCATTTTTGGGTCAATTTTCTTCATTTTTGGGTCAATTTTTGTCATTTTTGGGTCATTTTTGGCCATTTTTGGGTCAATTCTGGCCATTTTTGGGTAAATTTTTGCCATTTTTAGGTCAATTTTGGCCATTTTTGGGTCAATTTTCACCATTTTTGGGTCAATTTTCTTCATTTTTGGGTCAATTTTGGCCATTTTGGGTCAATTTTCTCCATTTTGGGTCAATTTTCCTCATTTTGGGTCAATTTTCTCCATTTTGGGTCAATTTTCTCCATTTTGGGTTGATTTTTGTCACCCGGAACAGCTGGCCGGGGTTTTGGGGCAAATTCCGGCCATTTTGGTCAATTTTGGACATTTTTGGTTAATTTTGGGCGTTTTTGGGTCAATTTCAGGCGTTTTTGGGACAATTTTGGTCATTTTTGGGTTAATTTTGGACATTTTTGGGTCAATTTTGGGCGTTTTTGGGTCAATTTTGGACGTTTTCGGGTCAATTTTGGTCATTTTTGGGTCAATTTTGGGCGTTTTCAGGTCAATTTTTGTAATTTTTGGTCAATTTTGGTCATTTTGAGGAGATTTTGGTCGTTTTTGGGTCAATTTTCTTCATTTTTGGGTCAATTTTCTTCATTTTTGGGTCAATTTTTGTCATTTTTGGGTCATTTTTGGCCATTTTTGGGTCAATTCTGGCCATTTTTGGGTAAATTTTTGCCATTTTTAGGTCAATTTTGGCCATTTTTGGGTCAATTTTCACCATTTTTGGGTCAATTTTCTTCATTTTTGGGTCAATTTTGGCCATTTTGGGTCAATTTTCTCCATTTTGGGTCAATTTTCTTCATTTTGGGTCAATTTTCTTCATTTTGGGTCAATTTTCTCCATTTTGGGTTGATTTTTGTCATTTTTGGGTCAATTTTGGCCATTTTTGGGTCAATTTTCTCCATTTTTGGGTCGATTTTTCCCGTTTTTCCCGGGAATCTCCCCTCACCTGCCTCACCTGTCTCACCTGAGCTCACCTGTTCAGGCCCTGGACACTTTTGGCGCCATCGACATCCTCGTCTCCAACGCCGCCGTCAATCCTCACCTGGGCCCCACCCTCGACGCCGACGAGCGCACCTGGGACAAGGTCAGGCCACGCCCACCCGGCCACGCCCACCCATTTCCCGCCAAAACCCCAAAAAAACCCCAAATTCCACAATTTTTCCCCAATTTTTCCCCAAAATCTCCAAAATTCACCGATTTTCTCCCAAAACTTCCATTTTTTTTCCCCAAAATGTCTCGATTTCCCTAAAAATTCCCCAGTTTCCCCCCAAAATTCCCCAAATTTCCCCTAAAATTCCCCGATTTTTCCCCAAATTTCCCAGATTTCCCCTAAAATTCCTGAAATTTTCCCAGTTCCACCCCGAATTCCCCAAATTTCCCAAAATTCTCCCGAAATTCCCCCAAATTTTCCCCCAAATTCCCCAAATTTCCCCGAAATTTCCCCCGAAATTCCCCAAAAATTTTCCCCGAAAATCCCCCAAATTCCCCCATCAAGCCCCGCCCCCTTTCACAAACCCCGCCCCCAATGACATCACTCATTTGCAAACCCCGCCCACAATGATATCAGTCATTCACAAACCCCGCCCCTTTCACAAATCCCGCCCCCAGTGATGTCACTCGT